GGGGGCCCTCCCGCAGGAGGAATTAAATAATTTAAATATGAAGGCCCCGATTTAAATATGAATATTTAATTCGGGGCCTTCATATTTAAATTATTTAATTCCTCCTGCGGGAGGAAGCCCGGCCCCCCCCCCCTCCAGGATTTAAATTATTTAAATTATTTAAATTATTTAATTCCCGGGCCCGATTTAAATAATTTAAATATGAAGCTCCCGAATTAAATATTCATATTTAAACCGTGGCCTTCATATTTAAATTATTTAAATCGGGCCCGGGAATTAAATAATTTAAATAATTTAAATAATTTAAATCCTGGAGGGGGGGGGGGCCTCCTCCCCCAGGAGGAATTCAATAATTTAAATATGAAGGCCTCGATTTAAATATGAATATTTAATTCGGGGCCTTCATATTTAAATTATTTAATTCCTCCTGCAAAAGGAGGCCCGGCCCCCCCCCCTCCCGGATTTAAATTATTTAAATTATTTAAATTATTTAAATTATTTAAATTATTTAAATTATTTAAATTATTTAATTCCCGGGCCCGAATTAAATGATTTAAATATGAAGCTCCCGAATTAAATATTCATATCTAAACCGTGGCCTTCATATTTAAATTATTTAAATCGGGCCCGGGAAATAATTTAAATAATTTAAATCCTGGAGGGGGGGGGCGGGCCTCCTCCCCCAGGAGGAATTAAATAATTTACATATGAAGGCCTCGATTTAAATATGAATATTTAATTCGGGGCCTTCATATTTAAATTATTTAAATTCCTCCTGCAAAAGGAGGCCCGGCCCCCCCCCCCTCCCGGATTTAAATTATTTAAATTATTTAAATTATTTAAATTATTTAATTCCCGGGCCCGATTTAAATAATTTAAATATGAAGGCCACGATTTAAATATGAATATTTAATCCGGGAGCTTCATATTTAAATTATTTAAATCGGGCCCGGGAATTAAATAATTTAAATAATTTAAATAATTTAAATAATTTAAATAATTTAAATCCTGGAGGGGGGGGGGCCGGGCCTCCTCCCGCAGGAGGAATTAAATAATTTAAATATGAAGGCCCCGAATTAAATATTCATATTTAATTCGGGGCCTTCATATTTAAATTATTTAAGTCTTCCTGCGGGAGGAGGCCCCCCCCCCCTCAGGATTTAAATTATTTAAATTATTTAAAATATTTAAATTATTTAAATTATTTAATTCCCGGGCCCGAATTAAATAATTTAAATATGAAGCTCCCGAATTAAATATTCATATTTAAATCGTGGCCTTCATATTTAAATTATTTAAATCGGGCCCGGGAATTAAATAATTTACATAATTTAAATAATTTAAATAATTTAAATCCTGGAGGGGGGGGGGGGGGGGGCGGGCCTCCTCCCGCAGGAGGAATTAAATAATTTAAATATGAAGGCCCCGAATTAAATATTAATATTTAATTCGGGGCCTTCATATTTAAATTATTTAATTCTTCCTGCGGGAGGAGGCCCGGCCCCCCCCCCTCCAGGATTTAAAATATTTAAATTATTTAAATTATTTAAATTATTTAAATTATTTAAATTATTTAATTCCCGGGCCCGATTTAAATAATTTAAATATGAAGGCCACGATTTAAATATGAATATTTAATTCGGGAGCTTCATATTTAAATTATTTAAATCGGGCCCGGGAATTAAATAATTTAAATAATTTAAATAATAATTTAAATAATTTAAATAATTTAAATCCTGGAGGGGGGGGGGGGGCCGGGCCTCCTCCCGCAGGAGGAATTAAATAATTTAAATATGAAGGCCCCGAATTAAATATTAATATTTAATTCGGGGCCTTCATATTTAAATTATTTAATTCTTCCTGCGGGAGGCCCGCCTCCAGGATTTAAATTATTTAAATTATTTAAATTATTTAAATTATTTAATTCCCGGGCCCGAATTAAATAATTTAAATATGAAGCTCCCGAATTAAATATTCATATTTAAATCGTGGCCTTCATATTTAAATTATTTAAATCGGGCCCGGGAATTAAATAATTTAAATAATTTAAATAATTTAAATAATTTAAATATTTTAAATCCTGGAGGGGGGGGGCGGGCCTCCTCCCGCAGGAAGAATTAAATAATTTAAATATGAAGGCTCCGAATTAAATATTAATATTTAATTCGGGGCCTTCATATTTAAATTATTTAATTCCTCCTGCGGGAGGAGGCCCGCCCCCCCCCCTCCAGGATTTAAATTATTTAAATTATTTAAATTACAAATTATTTAAATTATTTAATTCCCGGGCCCGAATTAAATAATTTAAATATGAAGCTCCAGAATTAAATATTCATATTTAAATCGGGGCCTTCATATTTAATTCAGGCCTGGGACCCCCCCTAGGACCTAAAATAGGGTCTATTTGGAAGTTGGCTCTTGTAAATAAGTATACGTTTTGGGGCCTTTTTTCCTCTTGTGAACACGAGTGCCAGCTTCCAAATAAACCCTATTTAAGCTGCACACCCCCCCCCCCCCCCCCGTTTAATATTAGGGGGAAGGGGTTCCTCTATCGTCTTGTCTTGTCAGAAGGCTCTCCTCCGCTGTCCATCTCTGGCGCAGCCTCCAGCATGTCGAAGTCAAACATGCCGGCAGGCTGAAACACTTTGGAGATTGCCGCAGATCGGAGTCTGGGGTTTAGGGTTTAGGGTTTAGAGTTGTGTTTTCCCCAGGGTTGGAGAGCTGGCGAGGGGTAGGCCAGTCAGTTAACCCCCCAAACCTGAAGAAGACTTGCGCTATTTTGAGCTTCAGCTGAGCCAAGAATCGGCGGTCACATGTGTCAGAAACTTCTTTCATCTGAAATCTACCAAGGCGATGGGTGACCTTTCCAAAAGGCCATGCCTTACTCATGCCTTCTCACCTCTCAAGCGGGGCTTTCTGTGCCATGAGGATCTAAGCTGCGCACCTGGTTCTTTGCTGGGTCCGAGCCGCATGCCTGCTAACCAGGCACGTTCGCTTGCGTTCGCAGTGCAATATCCGAGAAGTCGACAAATTCTTGGCAATACCAATGACGACAATGACCATGTGGGCAGTTCTCTCAATGCTGGTCCCCTTCTTGTTTACAGTACCCTAGATGCAAGGCACGTATCACAACAGGAACAACAGGAGCGGTAAGAAGGACCATATACTTTAGAGAACCTCCCATGTTGACAGCTTCTATAAAACCCTCAATTCCAACCACCCTTGCCTTGGCAACTGAGTCTGCCAGCGGATAGAAAACCCCGGCCTCGGCGCTCTTGAGATTTAGTTTACGCGATAGACACAGGGACGCCTGACCTAGAAGAGCATTCTAATTGTGGCATTTGTGGCACGATGAGAGTATGTGCTCTGTGAGCGTTGTATATCATTCCAGCATAGCGCGACAGAATCTCAGGAGGGGAAGGTTCTGTGCAGCTAGGCGGAACACAGACGTAGCAACAATATGCTGGGCAGCATGCTTTTATCGTACAGTATTACTCCCTAACCCCTAAACCCGAAAACCTAAATCCTAAATCCTGAAACCGAGCATGGTCGATGAATGTTGGTCCGGCTGCATTCGAAACACACCGGAGCCATTTACTGACACTGAGTATCCCACCATTCGCGTGCAAATTACAGCAGCCCTGTGATTTCGGGGGGTTTAAGGTTTAGGGTTTAGGGTTTAGGGTCTAGGGTTTCGGGGGTCCAATTTCTTGACGCCCTGAAGACTAAGGTGCAAAGCCTTGCGACTGGGCATATCACAGCTCGCGCAGCTGAAGCCGGCATGCCCGCCGCCAGCACTGCAGTCGAGTGGCAGATGCTCAAGGAGGTTTTAGGGTTTAGGGTTTAGGGTTAGATGTGTGCTACAAAAACCTGGGTTACTGTGAAGGAACTTAGCCAAGTTAGCGCAAGAAGGAATCCATACTACTTACTGACTGTATACCCCTTTTCTCGTAACTTAGCGCATATTATTGCTGTATATTCCTGCAGATGTATGTAACAAAGTTTAGCTTCCATGGCAGCAACTAAGTTACCAGAGAAGAGAAGCGACATCAGATGTCATTTGCTACATGTTCGAATCATAAAGTCACCATGCTACGGATATGATCTCGCAAATGTTGAGGTGTGTGCTATAGATGTCTTTTTGGTACTTTAACTTAGATTCCTGTACCCCTAAACCCTAAGCCGTAAACCATAAACCACAGGGAGCAGAAGGGCCTCCTTCTGCCAAGTTGAGGCCATAAGCCAGTCCAAGGGTTGTTCTCCCCATCAGGCGAACAATACCTTCTCAAGAATCTCGCAGGGAAACCGCCCAGAGTGTGCTAGCACCTCACAATCCCATTTAAAATGTATGGCATACTCCCCTAAACCCTAACCCTAAACACAAAACCCTAAACCCTGTAAAGATTGACAATCACCTTTTTGGTTCTGGCTTCCGGGAAGCAAGCGGTACACAACATGGTTGGGGCACTCAAAGCAATTCGATCACCGAGGCCAGTCTTTGCAAAGCCCTCCGCACATCGCCCCCGATGGGACAGACTGGGGTTTAGGGTTTAGGGCTTAGGGCTTAGGGTTTAGGGTTCAGGGTTTAGGGCGTAGGGCCGCGCTTCCAGAAAAACTCGCTTGCAAGGCACCGCCAGTCCTTGGTGAAGAAAAAGGAGAGCAGTACCAGCCACAGCACCTCGCTTGAATCGAGCTTAAGAACTTAGATCTGCAAGGCTGAATGATGCTGGACGATGCCACATGCCCGTCCCGCGCGGCTCTTTCTTGAAACTGCAAGTAACATTAAGTGGCACTGTCGCGCGAGTCTGAGGTTGCTCGAACACCCCAAACCCCAAAACAAAGCCCTAAACTGATAGCACCATGGCAACACCCCGGCCTCATCGGTGAACGCGGCCACCCCTTCGGCGAACGTCAGCCTGGTGTCCATAACAAACTGTTGAGGGTTCAGGGTTTAGGGGTTTAGGGTTTAAAAGATGCGGAGCTGGCAAAGGAGCCACCGATACCAATTGGAAGCTCGGCTAGTTGTAGCTTCTTTTTTGCTGAATTGTGACTTTAACCCTAAACCTAGACCCTAAACCCTAAACCCTAAATCCTAAACGCTAAACCCTCTAGGTCTTTCGATCAAAGCTAAGGCTTCTCGAGCTGTACAGCGTAGCAGCTCCGAGGCAGCGACGTTTTCGTCCTTGGTTGGTGGTCATCCGGTTTAGGGTTTAGGGTTTAGGGTTTAAATGCCGCGTTCGATTTCTGATGTGTCTAGCAACACTGCTGGTAAGCCCTCGGCATCAGTCCCACAGCAAGCGCACAGAAAGCGACGCCTGACGTTGAAGGCTGCAGCTAGCTCCACACCTGCATTGCCAGTCATTCCGCCTGCAGATGGCAAAGGCTGTGTGACGATGCCAGCGACCTGCCCGAGGGGGAGTGGCGGTTCTGACCATCGTTGCAGGTCGTATAAGCCAGTTAAACAATCAAAATCCCTAAGCCCTACACCCTTCAAGAGCGTGCCGTGGCCACGAAGAGCGCGAAGACAGAATGGCCCTGCTCGGAGACTCCTGGTAGAAAGGCAGCATCCCGCACATGAGACATCATGAGACATGACTCGTTGGGCCATACAACTGAAAGTTTTGACAAGTCTGCGATGGCCTTCCGGAACCGGGCATACGAAGCGAATGAACAGTCCAATGCTGACCGTGATGACTGTGGGAACCTGCATGGGCGTCATGTGCTCTTGTTTCTGAGCTAGATGTCCACACACTGCGTGGTGCCGGCCAGTGCAGCTCCACCCCATTGTTGCCTGCCTGCCCAGCTCACAGGGGCGATGGGGTTGCATTTCTCAGAGTTTGGAAATCACAGGATCGTCCTTTTGCATGTGGCTCGCATGCCTTCTGGAGACTGCTGCGGCTGACTTCCTCCAGAGGTTCCGGGTGTGGACATGTGACGTGCGACGTCGGTCTGGCAATTGCAGACCCGGCCTGCTCTTCCAGATGTGCACCGGCCTGCCTGCCATTCTATCTGTCTTGGTGGGAAGAAGACGTGAACATGTATGAGAAGTGGCAGTGAATACAGGCCGCCGCAAGCATCGGTCTCAACTCTCAACGCCAGCGTGCGCACGAGCCTCTTTGATATACCTCTTTGCAACCCGCAGTGTGCCAGCCTGCCAATCAACGCTACGCTTCGCCTGCACTACTTCCCATGTCATGCGTTGTCACATGGGGGTTTCCGAAATTCAGGGTGCCTTATTGGGGTCCTTATTCTAAGGAAGATCCTGCTATTTGGGGATCTATGTTGGGGGCCCCCCTAAACCCTAAAACCTAAAACCCTAAAACCCTAAACCCTAAACCCTAAGCCCTATTTTCGCAAACCCCCACCATGAATCTGCTTGCCCTATAAGTGCCGCCAAGCAGCCATGGCCAAACCTGAGGCGGTGCATTGGGACCATCCTCCCTCGTGCGTCCTCGGCACTTGTGCAGGGGGCCGGACCTGCACAAGCGATCACGGGGATAGGGTTTGCGGCTTAGGGTTTAGGGTTTAGGGTTTAGGGTTTAGGGTTTAGGGTTTAGGGTTTAGGGTTTAGGGTTTAGGGTTGGCCAACGGCTGATACAAGCAGGCCTCGAGAACTCCACTCCGATCCCCTCAAGTGACGACCCTGGCCTGTGGCGCGTTTAGAAGCCGAGTCGGCAAACGGCCGACTTGGGATGACGACTGAGCGGGTGCCTCTGAGCAGAATTCTGCATTTCACTTTTGCAAGGTTCCTTGCATTGGGAACAGTCGGTTTGGCATGTTTGGCTAGCATGATCGCAGGAAATGCAAAAAGCATTACACAAACCACGTTGCAACAGTCGCCATGCACAACATCTGGACGCTCTGTCTGCCGATAAAACCAAGCCCCTCGCAGCTGACGTAGGAGCTGTCCATTGCCCAAACATGAGAAATGGATGACTATTGGAGATTCGCTTTGCGCGATGCCAACCGTAGCAGAATCGGCATACACTTGCAGTCTTGCGGTTGCCCATGGTTCGTGCTTTCTCTCCGCGTCTTCATCCCTATTGATTTGAACTGCTGCATATCTTCACGTGTCCTGGAGCAACCTGCCGAGTGCACTCAAGATGAACGGGCTCTTTCGGTCTAATTACCGGATTCAAAGGGTCTAGATGAACAGGGGGTGTACCTGTGAATACCGAGGGATTTGCACCTAGCTGCGGTCCTTTAAGCGTCATCTGCCAAAGTCGAACTCGCGACAAAACGTCTGCACGGCCTTTACAAATAGGCGTGTTCTAGACATTGGCGAGTAGCATAAGGGGGTCAGCGAACACAAGGCCAAATCCCACTCTCGGATGTTTTCGCTCAGGCCTGCCAGAAGCCGACATTATCGTCACCGTTCTTGTTGCAAACGACATGAGTCATGAGCATCAGTACCGTGATAACTTGTCCATTGCTTGCTAGTCACCTTCATCGTCGTCAGCATCGCTAATACTAACACCAATGAGTAAGAAATGCACGTTAACGCTGCGGATTCACATGCGGTGCGAGCTGCTCAGCAGCACTGTGAAACATGCCTGCGAAAATGGCCATGCAGCAGCAAGCTTTGGCTGAAGTGACACTTTGCCTGCTTGAGAACACAGGCACTCGACGATTTGTGGGGCAGCATGTATAAAGCCTAACCCTAAACCCTAAACCCTAAAACCCTAAACCCTCATACCCTGAATTCTCACCAATGTCACCAAGATCTCAGGAGGGCCATCCCAACTCTGTGAGACACTACTGCCAGCCATGCGGGTATCTCCCAAATTCCGGGGTATGCTTATGTGCCCAACATACTACGATCCTCTCATTACCCAAAAGGGGGGGTACCCCGAACTTCTGGAAACGCCCGTATGGCCAATGGCTTAGAGCGTGTCGACCAGCTGATGTGCCTGGACCGCCGTCGAGAGCTGATTTGGGGTTGTGTTCACATTTGCAGAGCCTAGGGTTTTGGTGAGCGTATATAGGAATCCTTCGGGGATAATCGTACCGTACTTAATCAACCTACTACTTGACATGCGGGCCCACGTATCGAAGTGCAGTTGCTGAGGTACACCGTTTGCAACAGACAGAATGAAATCTGCAGCTGGTCACAGTTCCAGCTGTGGATCCCGTCATCGGTAGCTGTTGTGCTGGATTCCCTCAACCCTAAACCCTAAACCCTAAACCCTAAACCCTAAACCCTAAACCCTAAACAGCACCCCCTAAAAGGGACCCTGAAGCAGAACAACACCCCAGCCGTGCAAGAGGAGTCCTTCTCCGTGAGAAGTTTGGCTTCCTCCTTGTCCCGCATCTTGCCTGACACAAGTTGAGGTTTAGGGTTTAGGGTTTAGGGTTTAGGGTTTAGGGTTTCGGGTTTAGGGTTTAGGGCTTAGGGTTTAGGGCTTAGGGTCAAGGGCTTCAGGATGGTTCACCAGGATCTCTGATGCATCTTGGTTGTCGAGCGCTGGGGGACTGGCTTTCCAAGTCGTCCCTGGCCGCAAGAAGCTCTTGCTGGTAGTTGGCCTTCAGTCGACGGCAGAGCAAACGGATCTCCGCTGAACTGTGTGGCGCCTGTCTCAGGCTTCACCACATCGTGAAGAAACCCAGACATCCCCCCAAAAAGGATCTAAGGCCAAAGGGGCAACCCTAAACCCTCAACCCTAAACCCTAAAGCAGGTGTGCCAAAGCATCAAAGGTGATGCAGCCCCACAAGCCGCTGGCGTTCTCCTGCGTCTGCTCCTGCCCGTGGCAACTTTTCACACTCTGTCAATGGCTTGGCATCGCAAACGGTTTAGGGTTTTTGGGGCTTTTAGGGCTTCTAGGGTTTTTAGGATTCTGGGTTCGGGAGTTGCGGCATGTGAGACACAACTCTCGCGACACTCTGGAGTGACCTGGCAAGCCAACATGCCATCATGTCTGCTCTTTGACAGGCATGTACTACCAATAACATAGAATGCTACAATGTATTTCAACACAGCGTCACGTAGGATAATGACCTACGAACTACCACACCATACGTAATGACACTCTGCTACATGATTACAATGTCATATTTATCTCGCAGTTTGTGATCTCCTGAAGACGAAGTTTGAACCTTAAATTTCCAAACCCTACATTAGGACGCATAATATGGTGCATACGTTATAGAGTCTTCTCACATGTTATTTCTGCTATTTCGACAGATCGTGCTCAAACTTACTTTAGTATATCTTGGTGTCTTGTCGTTCATGTTGCTGGGAATGCCAAGGCGGGTGGGGTTTAGGATTTAGGGTTTAGGGTTAGGGTTTAGGGTCGTTTTCTTGCTCATATACATGTATGAACGTACGCATGCTCCTCTCCCCTCCACTTAGAACATCAGTTTCTGTCGTATTGAGGTTTTAATTTCTTACATATGCCAAGTTGTCAAACCTCCGCATTTCCACATTCCAAATTTGCAAGGGGCCCATGTCCACAGGACTTCAACCCCTAACCCCCAAACCCCACACCCTAAACCCTAAACTTCCAGATTCTTGATTCCAGATTTTAAACTTCCAGATTTGTGAACTCCTACGCAGCAAGAAGATGTAGTCTCAGAATGGCCCTCAGCGCTGATAGGGTTTATATAGGGTGTATATAGGGTTTATGTAGGGTTTATAGGGCTTTTAGGACTGGGAGGGTTTCTAGGGCCCAAAGCGTTTTGGGGTGTGGAGATTAGTTGAAGTCCTGCGGAGGTGGGCCCACGAAAATCTAGAACAAAGGAATCTGGAAGTTGGAGCTTGAATTTCCTGAGGGAGGCCCTGAAATTTGGGATCCGGTCGCACACACAAAACTCAGTTGAATCTGTATCGGACTTCGCTCAGCACATCTGGCGTACTGGCATGGTAATGACAAGACGTGGGTAGCCACAGGCAAGATGCTACAGTATCTTTGCAACTAAAGCAGCTGTAGAGCCGCATGCCGGACAAACGTCTTTGACTGAAGGAGTGTGCAACTGTGGAAAACGGACAAGAACACTTGCAACTTCTGTTGCTGTTACCTCCAGTGTCTGCCCATCACGACCACATTAAAAGGGCTTAGGGCTTAGGGCTTAGGGCTTAGGGCTTAGGGTTTAGGGTTCAGGAACACAAACCACAGGGCCGACAAAAAACAAATGGGGCCTCCCAGGGCCCCATGGCCAGGTCCGCCCAGGTCGGCAACATGCACTGCATACGAGAACACCCTAAACCCTAAACCCTAAACCCTAAACCCTAAACCCTAAACCCTAAACCCTAAACCCCCAAAGAAGGGGTTAGGAAGTTTTGGGTTGAAGGCTCTGAGGACGATCATCCGGTCTCCTCGATGAGCCTCTCCAGCTCCAGAAGCTCCTCCTGGACCTCCCAAGAGCAATTCCTAGGGTTTGGGGTTTAGGGTTTAGGGTTTAGGGTATTTGGGTTTAGGGTTTAGGGTCTTTGGGTTTAAGGTTTAAAGTGTAAGGTTTACTCCCGGAAAAACAGAGGAGCCGTGAAGAAACCACAGCAGCGCCCACAACGCGGCTGCGGCCTTGCCGCTGAGCTGCTCTCGCTCTAGCCGCGCCTCGGAACTCAACTCGGGAGCGCGGCAGTTGTTTTCGGGTTTAAATAGGGTTTAGGGTTTAGGGTTTAGGGTTTGTTTACTAGGATGGCCCTTGAAGCCCTCTGAAGACATGTTCCTGAATAGGATCCCCTTAAACCCACTAAGGGAAAACATAAAAGATCCCAAGGGCCTACCTAGTGTAGAGGTGCCAGGCCGAGGTTGCTGCCGCCTCCAGGGCGTCCCGCTCGGCTTGAGCCTTCATGTGGCCGAAAGCTACGAAGAGAAAGCCCATGGGGGATGAGGGATTTAGGGTTTAGGGTTTAGGGTTTAGGGTTTAGGGCCCGACACATTACCCTTTAAGGGATTCTATAGGCCTCATTCCCCTAGGAAGAACCAGCCAGAAGAACAAAACCCGGAAACCCGACGTCCGGTCCAAGCCTGTTTGAACATCTCGTTGCTGGCAATGAGCTCTTCTTTCAGCTGGCAAAAGTTCGGGAGACGCTCAGAGACCACGGGATCACACTCCGGCTCAGGCTAGCGGCTTCAGTCGTGCCTTGGCATCATCCTGCTTGAGCTGGGTGTAGTTCTGTCGAACCTTCTGGCTGGTTCTTCGGAGGGAATCAGGGAACTAGGGTGCCCTATTGTAATCCCGTAAAGGGTATCTACAGGGCCCTACTTCCCTCATTCCCTACTAAAAACCCGGGGGGGGGGGGCCTTATGAGACCCAAGTCCCGATGGCTTAGCGGAGCTTCGACCGCGGGTGGTCTGCAGGGAGTGCTGCGATGTGCTGGGATTGCCCTACACCCTAAACCCTAAACCCTAAACCCTAAACCCTAAACCCTAAACCCTAAACCCTAAACCCTAAACCCTAAACCCTAAACCCTAAACCCTAAACCCTTGCCCAGAACCAAGTCCCAAGCAGAGTCGATCTCCTTTTTGAGCTTGTGAAGCTCAGCCTCCCTGGAACAGCCCACTTCATGAAA